CCTCAACTTTTACTCCCTCCTCCCCCCCTTCTTTTAACTACTGATTACTTTTCTTCCCAGTTTCCATTACGACTGGGACACGAGTTCCAGCAGCATGAATGACCCCATGGTGGACTCGGGAAAAGCCAGTGATATCTCAGTGTCCAGTTGGCCCATGGAGCCCATCCAGTGGACACCTTTTCCCCTCCTCCACCAGCTTTCAAAGCAGCGACCGGTGAGCTCAGGGCACTGTGGAAGGGGCTTTGGGTTGGTTGGGAAGGAGGGTTAAAGGAGCCTGTGCTCCCTCCCCGGAGCTCAGGGGGAGCTGGTGCCCCTTCTTGCTCCATCGTGGGGAGGGGGATACGGGTGGGAGGCTCCAAGGGAAGTGGTGGGAAGCATCAGCTCCACTTGGAGCACAGGACAACATTCCTCTCCCCCCCCAGCACAAAGCCCGACGGCCTCACTCCTACTGCGAGGGGATGGAGCTGGTCAACCTCGAGAGGAGCTGGACGGCCTGAAGGCCAGGCAGAGCAACACACGGGCACCGAGGTTCAGCTTTTAAAACCAACCACATTTTATTTCCACGTAACAAGCTCAGTGAAGGAATTTCAAACACTTTGACAATACAATCAACGCAGGTGTGATGTCAGTTCCACTCGAGGCAGAGTCCTGAAAGAGTTTCTGCCAACGTTTTTCACCACTGCTTCGGACCAGACTTCAGAAGCCAGCTTTGGCTTGGGACAGCGTATTTCATAGTAAGTAGTTACAGATAAGTGTCTAGTAACACACAATGCTGGCATCCAACAGAGTTAATGACTTACATCCGGCAATTTGAAAATAAAGTCTAACAGATTTGTTGAAGTCACATCATACTATGTACATATATGGTCTGCCCTATAGCCATTTCAGAACAAGCTAAGCCACTGTGAAAAGTGAAAATACAAATTAAGCGCTGCTGCATTGTTCATCATGATTAATGTAAATGAGGTATAAATTTAAACACCAGTACGTTTTAAGCATTAAAGTTTATTTTCCAAAATGCT